TCATAAAGTTGCTGCTCCAGCTCCCCTATGCCCACTAAATTAGCCACGGTGAGGCCCATTGAGGAAAGGAACACAGAAAATGTCCCACAGGGTCAGACTGAACCCCAAGGATGAGTCAGAAGGATTTGGGATTGCCAGCCTCCAGGAAGGCACCCACGCTCAGGGCATCCCTTCCCACTTGGTATCAGGGTTTAATAGACTTCTTTCAAGTATGTTTGGTAGGAAGCGGATTTGTTTCACATCTCTCCCCGAGAGGCCTCGATACACCTTCCACTGGGATCTGGCTTTGCTCTCTCCGCCTGCCTGCTGCTGCTCCCACGCATGCACCCACCTCCATTCCTAAAAGAGCAGCCTCACAAGGTCATAGTGTGACAGTCTTTTACCCTCACATTCTTCATTTTATTCATTCATCCATTTATTCATTCCTGTTCATTTTTCCAGGCTCACAGAGCAGTGTTTACCTGTTTTCCCATGTCATCCATTACAAGCTCACATTACCTTCTCCCCCATAAAAAATTATAAAAGGAGATTTCTAGCTTTAGCATACTATTGTATACATCAGCGGTGGTCGTGAGGTCTGAAAGGTTGGCGGCCACTGGTATACATATTTTGTTTTTTGTTTTTGTTAGGAAGCTGGCAGAGGGAGGGATAGTAAAGAGGTTTGATCATTTAGCTTCATAGATGAAAAGGAGTAGAAGGGGATACTGAAAAATATCTTTGGGCTACAGAAATACTGAAAGCATGTTTGATACTTGAAAGATTTTCTATAACGTTTATTTTATAGTCAGAAAAATTATTCACATAAAGAAAAGATAACTACTGCAGGTAATCATGTCCTAGCTGTGTTCTTGGGCAGAAGCTCTTCCAAAACCTGAAAATGTCATACATACAATTGGAAATAAAACTCTAAAAAAGCACTTGGGAGATAAAATATGTGGTAAGAAAAGAAAGCAGGAAATGATGGTAGAAAAAAAAGTAGGAAGTCAGGGAAATTGTCTAATTTAGAGATATAATGAGTTTGAAAGTAAAGAGGTTTGGTGCAAAAATAAAACAAAACAAAATAACACCTAAACTAAAATGGGAAAAAACAGGTTTGAGTAAAAAGGAGGCAAGTGAGGAGTGCAGAGTTGAGCACAGATGCCTAGACAATGTGAAAAAGACAGCACAGGGCTGCAGGCTCCACCCTCTGCCACAGGCGAGGGCTGGCAGGCAGCTGGTGCAGAGTGTGAGAACCAAGGATTAGGGAACGCAGTGATAACAGAGTGGTCCTGGATCAGGAGAATGAGGCTACAAGGAAAGAATAAAGAGACTGGATTGGGTGGCTATGACCCTCCGTAGTTTAGCAACCTGCTTCCGAAGCCTTCTGCCCAATTCTAGCTGACAAACAAGTTTCTAGACTGCACTGTGCGTGGAAGAGAGATGAGTGGACTCCACTGAGATTGTCAAAAGAACAAGTCCTTTGTGCAGCACAGATAAAGTCCCCTTAACCAGACTGTCCTGGGGCATTCACCAAAAGACAAAGCCCTTATACAACTTTAAAAAATCCAAAATTAAGTATCCGGCCTAAGGAATTACAAATCCAGGCATTTTCCTTATTCTGTGTTTTAGAGGACTCCAAAGAAAAAAGAACGTTCTCAAGCCATGTAAGCATTGTTGGCAGACGCTGAAGACATCATCAAAGGCATCTACTTTGCTACGTGCTACCAGTCGTCTTGCTTTAAAACATTCATATCTGTATTCAACTGCAACAAAGTACACACCTTACAGTCTCATTTGAACAAGACTTTAAAAGTCACTTGGTCCAAATATTATTTTAGTCGAACCCTTTGTTCAATATCCCGACTAATCCCCAATCTATGCTTGAACACTTCAGGTCAAAGCAGCCACTTTTTGCTGAGGTAGTACATTTTATCTATGGACACTTCCGACTCTGAGAAAGACTGATTTGTTGGTTCTAGGATATTTTACTTTTATTACTAAAATTGCCAACATGTACTATTTTATAGTCAAGTGGTTTCATTTTAAACAAATAGTTTTTTAGAAATATAGCATACAAATGTAGGCAAAACTCAGTATTTTATATTTTGTATTGCCAAAGATTTTTGAGGTAGTAGGGAAGAAGGCATTTTGTATACTATAGACTGTATACTAACACATAGGATTAACACAAGTACAAATCATCTTTCTTCTCTTCATGGTGTTGTATTATGTTTCTCTCACTGAAACACAGAAAAGTAAAGGTGTGTACGTTGTCTTGTCTCTAAGTCGCAGGCGGTCATGACTATCCCATTCTGACCAGCCCCATAAGGACAACTGCTACACCCAATATGGCAGATCCCACGTGCACAGAGAACACCTGCAGAGTTATTCCCTGCCTAGAGGGGCATGCTGGAAAACTCAAAAAAGTACAAAGCTCTGGCTTTAGATACAAAAACATCACCACATTTTGTTGGATTTGGAATTAATGTACAAGGCAAATTCCTATCATTGCTACCTGCCTGAACCACCAGCTGTTTACTGGATTTCACACTTTGGCACAACTGTATTCTATGAGCCTCTTAGGAACATCCTTTGAATTGACAACACATTTTAATAAAACATCTTGAAAAACAGTACAATTTTTTAAAAAGTGAAGGCCAAGCAATGTATGAAATAAAACTAAAACAAAAAACAAAATCCAAACTATCCATAGTCTCAAACTACCTGAAATTATGTGCGTTTATAGCAATTAACAAACAGTAGGAAGAATTAGAAGCTTTTGATTGGAATAGAAATGTAAAATGTTATGTGCAAACTGACCGCCCCCCCCAAAAAAGAAAGAAAAGTAAAAGACTCTTGAAGAAGTACATATTGAATGTGCCAGAAAATGTGAAAGAAAAATCCAGTCTTTAGTACAAAACCCTCCCCCCTACCGACACCCCCACAGTGTTCTGCAGATGGTGTACTACCCAGAACACAGGGGTGCGGATGCATCATGTCATGTGCTTTAAATACACACATAGTTACAACCCAAGTCTTCAAGAAAAGAAGGTTCAAAGGTTACTTTCAAAACAGTTATTTATTATTAGTAGTGGTTTTAATTTTTCATCCCTAGGATTTGGGGAAATAAAAATGAGACTTCATTGAAAAAGAAAGGATGACAGAATATGCACATGACGGGGTAAGCCTCATCAGCCAATGTGAACAGAGATTAAGCCAGAACATTCTCCTGGCTTTCTTGGGAAAGCAGCCTTGGCCCACTGTCTATGCCCTGAGAGCAAAGCCCTTCTCGCCCCTAGAGCCCTGAATCACATCATTGCACCCTGACCAGCACCCCCGCCCCTCACAGCAAACAAAACAATGTCTGATACGGGTTTTTCAAGTCATCTCCATGGTTTCCTTTTAAGGATCAATTATTTCTGAATAAAATCTGCCAAAGTTCTAATAGCAGCTCCCAAGGGGGTGGAGGAGGCAACAGTGTAGTCTGACATAAGACTCATTTTGAGATCTGCCTCCAGTTATCTGGATGAAATCAACTGTGCCCTCGGTAACTAGGACCAAGTACGTGAGCCACTGGAGACCCAGGATTCATCCTGTAGTTATCCTTTATATTCCTCTGAGGCTCTGCAGCTTGGCTAGGACCATGAAAGTTTTAGATGGAAAAGATTGACGTTTAGTGAGATGCTAATGCAATCTCTCATTTTACACATGAGGAGAGTGAGGCTGCGGAACTTGCCCAGGGCCACGGAGCAGCGTACCACCATGGCCTGCAGTCTTCTGACTGATGCTCTGGGAATCACTCCGCATAAACAGACGATCACACTGGGAAATGTATTAAACTACAACACTGAGTTATCTGAACACAAAGCAGAAGGGAGCCATTTAATTATTATGCTATTTACCAAGTGATTCCTTAGGCAAAGATTCATCAAACTTCTTCCCCCAATAAAATACAGTCCTTAGAGATTCATAGTCTATATTTACTTAACCTCTTGATGTTCAAAATATGGTTGCAATCAAAAGACCGCTTTAAAAAGGCCTACAGGCCGATCAGTGTCCCGTACACATACTGTGCCCACAGCAGGGGCAACCCTTTCAAGCAGGTCAGGAATAGTAAAGCCATGTAACTTAGAGTGTGATGACTAACAACACGTTCTAAAATGAAAGCCTGTTTATCATTATAATTTCTGAACTAGTGCAGACATAGAGTCTGTGATTTTTGAGGCTTAAAAAAAAAGTATAAATTATATTTTAATTCCCCTTTCTCCCAACTGCAGTATTGAACTTAAATGTCTACTAGATCAGTGGGTGGAAGATCAAACAACATTTAAAATTTTTTTAACTTTACTGCCCACAAGGATGTGGGAGTAATATGTCAGAGGGACGAAAATGTATGTGACAGAGAGTTCCCTAATTCGACAAGGAGCAGGTTGCTCCCTCTTTTAAAGAAGCAATGCTCGCCCTTCCTTTGCTTGGCCTACTTTATAGAGCTGATAAACACAATAAAAAAGTTAAAGCAGAATCTAAAAATGTCCATGTTCTGATATGTTCTCTCACTGCAGCTGATAATCCAGGATGTCTCTGACCTCTAGGGCCTCAGCTGCTAACAGAGCGTTCTGCACTAAGAATAAACTCAATCTAAGACATGAACAAGAAGGAAATCTCTCTCTCCATTTCCTCCCTCTTCATTCCCACTTCAAGGGAGTACAGATGTGAACAAATGTATCTAAATATAATCAACAGAGAAAGATGTCAATCTCATTTCCAAAAGCCTGACGCCAGCCAAGGAGGAGGAAGATGCAGCAGCAATGTGGATGGAGCAGCACACCCAGCACCTTGACCCCTCGGGGCCCAGGACGCTCCTCCAGTGTCTCCGACTAGTGTCATGCCTCTCCTGCCTCAGGTAGGCCATCTTCACTGCCATCCAGCACTGATACTGTGCTCCCTCCTATCACCGAACCCTGCTCTTTTCTAACCCCAGAATGTCCTTTCCTTCTCACTGCAGGCCCCCTTTCCATCTGTCTAAATTCCACCTACCCCAAAAGCCCATTCGAATGTCATCATCCTCAGAGAGCATCCTTGGAGGATCATGTACCAAACAAGCTCTCATTTTCAAAGCTCTTCCATCACTATTATCTGAACCCCACCATTTGCACCAATTGCAGAATGTGTTCTGTCTTTTGCTAGTTGTTGCGTATATGTTACCAGTTTTGCTCCCCCACTTCCATTGTACTATTAAGGGCATATACCAGAAGTCATACTTTTAAAATGTTTTCCACAGCACTAGCATGCAGGTGGACACAGGCACTTGGGGAAAAATCGTGCTGTATTGAATTCATAGTCAGACTCAGACCTCTCGGGAGTGACCCCCACCACTCCTTCCTTGGCTGTGCATGAACCCAGGTGCAGGTGGGAGGTATACGGCTAAAAATGACACCAGTGTTCCAGCTCCTTTGAGGAGCTTAGACATGATCACCAACATTGTTGTTGCTATTCATCTTCAGAGAAAGCTGAGTGCCATAAGTAATGCTTAGCATAAGCTGTCATGCAAATTCCTCAAATGCCTTTGTGCATATATGAATGCAATTTTCCCTTCAATTTTGGATTTCATCATGCAGTGCACTTTCTCATTTTATAGCCAGTCATTAAAAGGACAGCTCAGTTGGCTCCTTTAATGCAATCCAAATGAATTTCACAGGCACTTCTCTACTGAGGATCTATTAAATGCCTGGCGCTAAGCAACATCCCTGAAAGAAATACTAAAGACATACGACAGAGTTCCCTTTCTGTTTTATTGATTTTAAAATGTAAAAATCACACACATACACATACACCTACACACACATACACAGACACACACACACACACATGCACACACACAGTTCTCAAGGAAAGGAAAAGCCCATTCTTTCTGCATCTCCACCACCATTCCTCCCAGTGCTGCACATACAATAACAGCCCAGTGGCACTGCATTGCTTCTGACATAATGAAATTTGTAGGTATACACACAGCAAAGCACAGTAGCCCTTTGTAAATAAACAATCCTATAAAAGCCAGGCACATAAAAATAAATTAATATATTTTAAGAACATGTCTTTTTTCTTCTGACAATTTACAGAGAAGAGTTGATCTCCCACACACTGTCACTGAAAAACATTCACTGATTTTAAATCACCTCTCAGTCCCCTGAAGCAGAAATGAATCTGAGAGGAAACTTCTGTGTCTGCACACTTCAGAGCAGATGAGGGAGCCTGCTGTTGCCACTTCAGGACTTGCTTATCACAGCCAGGTTAACACAATACAGGACCTTAAACATACACATATAAAGGAAGTTACACAGAAAATTATCCTTTTGGAAGTTAATGACAATAGACATAAAAAGAATGAATGTACTAGTAGAAGAAGACAAAGATACGAGCCTAGGGTCTGGGTCACATATTAGCAGGCGAGGGTGGGAGCATTATGTGGATGGGAGGTCCTGGCATTAGGACTGTAGAGGGGCCATGCCTACTATCAAGGCCTATTCCAGGGGTCGGTTATAGGAAGAAAAACGAGGCAACAACATACTGAGTACCAAAACTAACAGCACTAGTATGAAGGCTAGAAATCTCTTTGTAATTCTCTCCTGGGGAGATATAAAAGTGAATGTGGGCATGTAACGGTTACTGTGAGAAAGGTAAATACTGCTTAACAAATGATTCTAGAACAAATAAGGATGAGAATAAATGGAGGGAGGAACAAATGAATGCAGGAATAAAATAATGAGTGAGGGGATAATGCAATCTCTAATTAGTAGTATGAGCTCCTTGTACAAGGAGGAGTAAATGGACAAAGAACAATCCTAACCACTAGACAAGGACACTGGAAGATCCGGAGTGGGCAGGTGCATGTGGACAAAGTCACCAGTTCAGAGGGAAAAAGAAAACATGTAAAAAAGGTTGTAAGACAGATAATGTGATCTCCCATGTAGATCACCAAGTAAATCCTATTTTCCTTGTTCTTTTTTGCCAAAGAAGCTTTCATTAAGATTTCAGTGTAGAAAACATGTTCTATTTACTGGCTCTCAATCATGTTATTTCCTTTGTAATCCATGTCTGGAATAACCCCACCCCACACCACCCACCGCAATCCTATCATTCCTTTAAGGTCTAACTGAACACAAGCCCCAATAAGTCTCTCTTCTTTAGAAAACAGTTATCTTTGAGAAGAGAAGCTATGAATAGAAAAGGGACAGAAATGGTTGGGATCTGAAGGAAGGTGAAAACCGGGCTCTCAATGACGTCCTATACGACCGTCAAGGAGGCCAGCTTTTCACTAAAGGCACCACCCCCTACCTTATGTCCCATTTCTCCCTTCTTTTGGTGCTTGAGCATCTACTGTACAGGTGACCCTTGAAAAACACTGGTTACTACCTGAACAGATCAAATCTGTGTTGTTTTAAGGTCAACTCTGCTATTGGGATCCTAGTATGCAGAGGGCCCATGGTAGTTTTATGTGGATTTTCAACATCACAGGAGGTCGGTGTGTGTTGTTCAAAGGCCAACTGTATGACTGCTTAGGATATGTCCCAAAGAAAAAAACAGCAGAGAGAGAAAGTATCAGATCCAGTGAGAGGGACTTTCTCTCACCTTATTTCTTTTAAGAATTCCTCCAGCATTGACCCTGTAGGTGGGATGAATAATGTCTGCCAGGTTATTGCTTGAGAACACTGCCACAATGCCAAAGAAAATATAATGCTTTGACACTGAGCTACTCCCAAAGAAACAGGGTGGGGAAGGAAAGTAAAATTAGTGGCACCAGTGGCAATGACGCAGAGAGAAAGAAAAAGGAAGAAATGCCAAGCTGTAGCCAGGCAATGCAATGCAAGCCATTGCTTCATGTCCCACCCACTTCCACACCCACTGAGAGTGCTGTTCTCGGGGATGGAAAAAACACACACAAAAAAACAGCTTGAGAGAGCAACAGAAGAATTGATGCCAAACCATCTTCAGCTCTGAGCCAAGAGACTAACCACTCAGTTCATGGCATTACTGAAAGACAGAAGACAAAGACAACAGAAGGAGCTGTCGGTCTCCCCTTACTGGCCCACCACTTTCTTAAACCCAGAAAGGCACTGGTGCTAAATCTGTTTAAAAATCGTATGAATTACTGGCCTCTATTTCTTTCATGCATTTGTTGGAGAGCAGCCAAAAACGGTATCGATGAGCTAGGGCGATATTGCCAAGTAATAAGCAGACAGAGACATTAAGTTACAGAATTTTAATAAAATGACACCTCAGAATTTAAAAACAAATAAATATCTTTTTTTCTTCCATATTCAGAAAAGGTATAAAGCTGGTTAAAAGATCCACAGTAATTCCCTGATTTTTTTTCTGATCTCTCTATTTTGATATCAGTTGTTATATAACTATTACAATCATTATATCAAACCTTAGATATGACAAGTTAAATAAACTACAGGATTTTCTGCTACCTAGATCCAAAGCCCCATCCATTCCCATGACTTCAGTCATACTTATCAACAGAAGTTTTCCAAACACTGACTTATGATTCCACCCTCTCAGCTGGGTGTCCAGTATGTAAACTCTGTGACAGCAAAGGTCCCATTTGTCTTGTGTACTTTTATGACCCCAGAGCATGATAACGAGAGGGAGCTAATAAGCATCAAATCAATAAACCTAAGTCTGATGAAATCTCAGGTTCAAATTAGGCAAATTTCTTAATTCTATCCCAAACTACTGCCCTGTCTTTCTCAGTGTTCCTACTGCTTTTGGGGCTCTAAATTTATGGTTGTAATTTTATCTTCATCTTTCATCTCCTCTATAGACACTTCACCATTAAGTAAATTCTCTTTAGAAACTATACTGCTGAGTTAAAAAGAAATCCAAACATATACACTCCGCCCCGCCCTGCAAAATAAGTCTCTTCCGTTCATCTTCACCCCTCTGCCACCACCCTATGCCAAACGGGGTATTATTAACCCCTATTTTGGCAATCTTGTCTAAGTTGGCCTTTTTACTTTCAGTTTCTGCATACTAATTACAGACTAAAAGCCTCCTTTGCTCACAAGCTATATATACTTCTCATTACCCACCTACTTTCCAAAATAAAATTAAGCTCTACATGGAACCATTCAAAATCTAACTGCAACATACCCTTACCCATCAAGTTGGCCTCCTTAATGCCCTACCAGCTGGCTAAGCTAATTTCTACACTCACATTTAACTCGATTTTGTGCATTAGGCCATTGGAATGTAAATCCCATGAGAGCGGGATTTTTCACCGTTCTATCTTCAGCACCTAGAATGACACTGAAACAGACCCTCTAAAAATACTTTCGAGTAAATGAATGGTTACCAGAATAAGAAAAAGAGAAAAGAGAACGAAGGAAAGTAGGAGAGTGTGTCAAACTCCTTCCACGAAGGAGCTTATCATTCAGATCAACTCCCCATTTTCACTGATCACTTCTATCTTAGCTGGTTTCTCTCTTCATACAATTTAGCACGTAAACACTCATTAACTAAGCATTCAATGAATAGCTGAGAGCCTGCAATGTGTCAAGCTCTGCGTTAGGCACTGGTGATACACCAAGGAACATAACAGACATGTCTTCACCTTCTCCAAACTCACAGCCTAGTGTAAACATTAAGGCCAATTAAAATTAGTGGCACCAGTGAAAATGACGCGGAGAGAAAGAAAAAGGAAGAAATGCCAAGCTGTAGCCGGGCAATGCAATGATTCGCATAGAGAGGATAGTTAACTTGCACTTCAACCATAGTGAGGACTTCTCAGAGGAAGACCCATCTATGGGAAGACTTGAAGGATGAGCATGAGTTAGCTAGATAAAAAGTAGGGAGGAGTGTTTGAGGCAGAGGGAATTACAGGGACGAAGACCTGGAAACAAGAGACAGTGGAAAAGTGTTTAGGAATTGAAAGTAGTTCAGTGGGTCTAGAGTTCAGAGTACAAACTGGGCAGGAAAAGAGCTGAAGCTGCAGGGCTGGCAGGGGCCAGAGTTTGAGGGGATCTTGAAATCACCTTCAGTTGCCCCTTTCCCACCAAAAGAGAGAAAAAAGCATGAGCTTTCAAAATGAATGTATGAAAAGGAAGCTGGGAAGGGGCAAAAGAAAGGGAGAGGCCTTATGTGTCAATTCCACCTCTCAGCCTAGAGAATAAGTTCCTCGTGGTTTTATATTTTTCTCTGCATCTCAAAATGCCTGTTCAAATATGCAGTGTTCAAAAGGCTGATTGAAAACATTGATTCTTCCTTTCCCCTGTCCCATCCAAAGGGGGGAGGAATATAAATTTGAAAATTTAACATTAAACAAGGAGACTAACACATTTAAACGCAAGAGTTATGAATGAATGAATCTTAAGTCTCTAATATTTTTTTCCTTAGAGACTTTAACTTCCTTGGCTAGTCACTGGAGATACCTGAACCTCAAAATCCATAATTTATATAAATTCTCATAATTACCACACACTTTGTAGAAGCTTAAGCAATGAGCTAAAGAACCAGCTCAAACTGGCTTTGGTTTCCTTTTTACATTTGCTTCAGATTAATTGTTTCCTTTAATCCACAGCAGTTCTTAACATTCGTGCATAGTCAATACAGAGTTCTATCCAAATGGGATACCTTGTTTGGAACTTTCTCACCCCAAATTATTTCAAGACCAGGGCTGAATCTAGACGCATATGGCACTCCTGAGGCATAGCACATTAGCAGGGCGCAACAAAGATAAAAGGTACAAACAGGATGCAGAGCACCCACATTTTCAAAGTATGGATTAGAAAAGGTACGGATATTAACTGGGCGATTTTTAGTATTTAGTATTAACTATTAATAAAAGCTGCGCCCCCCCCCCCAAAAAAAAAGCTGCCCAGTATCCGTCTCATACATCACCTTTAAACATTATTTTTCCTCAAAACAGTGAGGACTACTCTGGGTCATGGATGAAATGAGGGCACCATGAAAAGCTATTGATGCCTTTCCGGAGGAAATCCCTCATCCCCCGTCTCCAGTCTACTACACAGGACAGGGAAATAACTCTCTTGCTAACCTTTTCCATTGAGGAAATTACTAATGCATTTTTTCTAGTAATGTCACTACAATGCATTAGATCATGTTTCTACCCAGTAAAAACAACTCTCATTATTTATGATATTCAGTTTATTTCCTCTTTCATTAAAATAGGAAAACCGAAATTCCATGAAGACTGGAAAAAAGGCATCATAAAGCAAAAATCTTTCCCTTTCCTGAAATAAGGGCATCCTGAGGCATCCGAGCTCTTAACTGTCAAACGGAAGAAATGCACTGAAGTATGGCTTTTTTCTCATTGCAGGTGGTATGTGGCGCTTTTCCTCAATGTATGACTTCTTTTGCGATGTTCTTAATATGGAATGGTGTTTCGGAACAGCTCTAAAAATTGCATTCATTCCATAACCACAGAACAACAAAACAGGGACCTGCTATTGAGGGATGGAAGAACCAATGGCATGACCACTTGAGCCATCATTCTCATTTGTTAATACGTCTCTCTGGCTAGTAAGTGGCAAATCCTCTCCCACATAAACATGCACGCGCGCACACACACACACACACACACACACACACAAACACTTTATACATACAGTAAAAAGTTACCTAGCTTCAAGCTTTGTCATTGTGTGGAGGAAATGCAAAACCCTTCTCCATGTGCATGTTAGCAAGACAGCAATTTGACCTTTACCACAGCCCACCCTCAGCACCTTTGAGGGAGGAGAAAGAAGACAAGACACACTACATCCAGTGCTGTATTCACTGATCTCTCATCCGTCCATCCGATAAGCACTTATTGAGTATCCTGTGCATCAGATACCATGCACTACAGAATGTTTAGCAGCCTTTTTCGCTTCCATTCATTATATAGGATAGCCCTTGCCCTCTCCCCAAGTTGTAACAACTAAAAATGTCTCCAAATATCGTCCAGTGGAAACCACTGTCTTAGAGGTTCAGAGTATGAAGCCACCATTTGTCAGAAATTTAAAATATAATTGAAAGAAAATATAAAAATAACTAGCCTGTAATACCATTTTAAGGTTGGAGAGATGGTGACAAGGAGAAACTCACATATACCTAGGTAAGGTTAAAAATAGTATTTATTTTTAAATGAAATGAAGGAAAGAGAATTTGTGCCTAAAAACCATTCCCCTCTGAGAGCCTTCGCGTTGAGGACCATGTTGCTTCCGAACATTCTGCTCACGGGTACACCAGGGGTTGGGAAAACCACACTAGGCAAAGAACTTGCTGCAAGATCGGGACTGAAATACGTTAATGTGGGTGATTTAGCTCGAGAAGTCTGATCACCGGATATCATGGACTCTGGCAAGATGGCTTCTCCCAAGAGCATGCCGAAAGATGCACAGATGATGGCACAAATCCTGAAGGATATGGGGATTACAGAATATGAGCCAAGAGTTATAAATCAGATGTTGGAGTTTGCCTTCCGATATGTGACCACAATTCTAGATGATGCAAAAATTTATTCAAGCCATGCTAAGAAAGCTACTGTTGATGCAGATGATGTGCGATTGGCAATCCAGTGTCGTGCTGACCAGTCTTTTACCTTTCCTCC